TTCATTACACTTAAAGTTAGCACGCACCTATTCGGTGTCCAGTTCTCATCCGGTCTGCGGTTATTACATTTGTAAAAACGTTGTTCTCCTTCAAAACACAAAGTTACGGGGAAATACTAATTAGATCAAATAAATGTTCTCCTCAGAGTCCTGTTTGTGTAACTTCTCATACAATCACATGTGACTATTTGTTGACTCAAATAGCTTCACAGTTGTTGAAAAAATCCCCTCCTTAAAATCCCTGTTAATCTTACTCCCTCTTCTTTTTCTCTTGAAACTGGAAGAATGAGTACCGAAAAGTCTCATTAAATAAGATTTTCGACTACCCAACTAGCAAAATAACTTAAATTTAACTAAATACGTGGTAAAAAGACATCAGATTTATCAGCGTTCGGCAGCCAGCAGACAGAATTATGTAGACTATCTACATGATTGAAGCAGAATGTGTACTCAGGGCACAAGAACTGACAAGCATTCATCAGCTAGTAGTTTACAATCTAACTCGGTAGATAGATAACTTAATCCAGAGGTAATGAGGCAATCTAGTAGAAGCTCATCGAGTGATGACAAAATAACCGTAATTAATGAATGATTTAACGAGGATACATGTTCAAACAAATTATGTTAAAAATTACATCCCAAAGACCAGTACTTTTGTTAGTTAGAACATCAGCATTCAATTGAAAAGAGAAGTAATATGGGAAAAACAGATATCCTATCAACAGATTGAAAACAGTTATTTCGGTGACTTAACTTCCAAAAAAATACAGCCGAACGCAGACAGGGGTGAATAAATGATTGTTTGCGATGTAAATACAGCATTTACATCAAACAACTGCTACCAACACTACTACGATACTACTATGACTACGGCTACGACAACTACTCCCCACCATGTCACATGTTTCGCTTCTATTTCATCAGGAATCCATTCAAACAAACCTGAAGGGATGCCATCGTCCAGGAATAGGAAATTTCGGTCACTGTAGTATCTTTCTACTATTTACAGACTCAAGGGATTCTGAACAATGTACATTACAATTCTTCCACCTAGTGAGTTCTAAGATGCATGTGGTCTCATCCACTGAACACCTTGCAATTTGCATCTTGCAGAAAAGAAGAAACGACGAAATCTCTTCTCCAGACCTTTTTTATAGGAAGATGAAAGATTCGTGCATACTGCTTTCTCGTTGCAAGAGTAAAGAAAGGTTTCTGAACAGACGTCATGTACAAGCTCTACTTACTTGTCCCGAGAATCACTGTAGCGCTTAGCAACTACAAAACTAATCAAAACTACCTTAACAAAGTGATCTAACACAAAGCGTTTCCAATCAACTTTACCAAGAAGAGTGTGCTAACTGGACTGAAAATAAAAAGATTACCCCAAGATAAACAACAGATACTGCCATCCTAATCCTTCCATTTGTTATCAGTCTAGTAAACGAACTAGCCAATTCATGAAAGAATACTGAAGCGTCCGCTTACGGAAGCAGAAAAGATGAGTGTAATCAATAAAATCAACCGCACAAACTTCCTGAAAATCTTCCGTCTGTCCAGTCACTGGATAGCTTCAGTAATATCTGAGCATCAGATAACAATCAAATCGCTTTGTTTATTATAAATGATCACCACAGATTTCAATGTAAACAACCGTAGCCTTGATTAGACAGATAGACAAACAAAACTAACACAGAAATTCGCATGCAAGTGCATCGGTTCAACTTGCCACACTTCACAGTAGTACACAAAGAATAGATGCATAGAAAAAGCGATGTCAAAGTAGGTGAAGTGCAATGAAAGAATAAACAGTTTGACGATAACGGTTAGTGCGTACATTCAAGCTTTTAAAGATATCATCTGTGTCATCGTGACCATCTTCCAGCCTCGTCACAAAGAGTCCTCAACCACTGTTTCCCTCCACCGTGAGAACCCCAACCAGACAGTCTACATCTTCCTCACATCAGTTTACTATAAACTGCAACTCAAAACCTTCACGCTAATCTTTGGAAGTATATTGGTTACTCCATTGCAACAAACATCAATAAACAGGAATATGGGTCCAATCTACGGATTGCTCAGGAAAGAGCCAGAGAACCGGACTACTAAGAAATACTTGATTGAATCAGTTGCTATGACTTAGAACAATGGTGAAAGTTGCAAAATCACACGCAGAAAAATCCTTTCCTCTACTGTAGAAGGATGGAAACCAATGTCAAACAAGTCAATATTTGACAGGTAATCATACCAACCCATCATTTAATAACCCTTAAGGTCATGCATTCAGGTCATTTCCACTACAACGCACTATTCGTCAACGGACAAGGCTAAAAGTTATCCTCAGGTGTTATCGTGCTCATCATACGTTGTGGTGTCGTTTGTGGAAATACGAACAGTTTATGTATTCTGTATGAATATCTTACCTACTTGCATAGTTTCACAGTGCCGACTGTCAATGAATCATATTTCAAATCCTGTATTCACATTCAAAGTGTTGGCTGCACCTCCACTTAGGCGGAAAGTAATAATGGTAATAATTCACTTTATTCTAAACAATTTATGGTGCAATTTAGAATTCTCAGCATGATATATTGCAACAACAATACAAAATGTATATACATGCTCCTGTACAACTTCTCGAATGGTGCTATTATACAAATTTAAGTAATGTAAAGAATATTAAAAACGAGAAAGTTCTACATTGTTTATTAAATTATTGAGATGTAATTTTTATCTGTTACAAAGTTGATGTGTGATTTCTGTTCTGACACTTTTTTCCTCACAAAATATGCGTGTTAGTTAAGCTAGAGTCATTTTGTAACTCATGGCTCAGTATGATCTGTGGCAAGCTTATTTAACAAGAGTGGTCTAGGAACAGAATCAAAAGCTGATGAGTAATTCGAAAAGGCACAACGAACATACTTAATACCTTTGTCGAGACTGGAAACAACGTTATGATGCAAGACAGTGTTAGTATCTTAAGTACTCCTCCCGTGTTTGCAAGGAAACTGTTTTGGATCTCTGAAAACCATCAATGAAGGCTCAGTCACAAGGAAGAATAATTTCTCCGTTCTATTCAGAAAGGGGAAGTTACAGCGATGGGTCGAAACGTAACATCTTATCCAGAAGATGAACTAGGCACAGGTACAATTTTGGTCTCCTTCCAAGCAGCGGGTATTATATTTTAGAAAATGGTGCATTGAAGATATCTGTAAGCAGATGACATAAACTATCTCCATATTTTCTAAATATAATACCAAAAACATCATCAGGACCTAAGCTTCGGTATGGAATCGAGGATTTTAGAGATTTAAATACATCATGTGTATCAAACCAGGAAAGCTGTTGTCTATTTGGCAATGGACATTAGGAAGGATGAAATCAGCTTGCCGACGTATAAATGACTTGTTTAACGTGCGACCATCCAAACAAGCTTCTTTCGTCATCTGTTTCCTACCAGTAAGCTCTTTAAATAATTTCTACATAGTGGGAGAGTTCTTACACGATAGAAACCTCTACTTGTAAATAGTATTTAGACATTGCATTTCAGACTCAATTGGGCAGTTGAGTCTTTTAACGCCAGGATGATCACTCGTCTTACACCACCCTTCCTCTTCTCTCCAGATCATCTTGAGATGAGGAGAAGAAAGTCTGTCGAATCTCATGTGAGTTGTTTCAGCAGGGCAGCAAATATCGAGACAGAATCTGAGACAGCTTGAGACATTGGTGATGGCGTTGTCTAAAACTTCATCAGCAAATATATCACAGTCTCCTTCTATGAGCGTGCTTCTCAAAAGTAATACACTCTCTTGTGAACAGCATCTGTACTAAACCTTCTTGGAAAGATATCCGAAAGCTTTCTTGCGTAGTTTGTCGTACACTTTAGGCAAAACACGTACAATACAGTGGTCATAATTCAGCATTGGAGCCCGTTTACGTATTTGCTCAAATGATTGCGACGAAATTTAATGTTAATGCGCCCAATTTTTTCGTTAGATAAGCAGAAAGCATATATAGTTGGAGGAGGACCAGTTTGCACTGATAAATGCTGCTATACTACCACCATACTTCTTCTTCTTCTTCTTCTTCGAAAAGCTTCAATCTTGTCAAAATTGTCTGAAACCATTTAAGCAGACTAAATCACCAACATCCAGGTTATGAAGCCATGTTTCCTGCGGCATTATTACACCCGTGTTTCGACAAACATTTGTGGATAAGAGTGACTGAAGGTAATCAACTTTATTTGATCTATGGTCATAAGCTTGAGAGCCCGTTGTCATCCACCTGGCTGCTAATTTGCCTATCAACTTCTGAAGTGATGGGTTGTAATGATTTTAAAAAGGCGTGGGAGTATACAGTGTAATTGGTTAACATAACTGAGCGATTAAAACAATATACAAAGGTGGAATTCGATGCAACATATTCTGTGATAAAATAAGGTGGTCCAGAGTTCAGGCACGCTACCCAGGTACATCATTCAACTACACTTATTCAGGATGAATGATGCTCACAGATCTTAGTGAGTTAGTTGAAGCATCCGAAAGGATTTATGATTCGAGTTTTCACAGCAGAACATCTGCACGAAGAACACATAAAATTCATATTTTCAGACAGAATCTGATAACATCTGGAGATAACTTTCAATCCCACCCTTCGTCAAGCGGTTCGATAAATTTCTGACACAAGCACTAGATAAGAAATAATAATATTTCTAACAGCTTCGCTAAAATCCATCACATTGGACACATGTATGAATTATGCATAGAATTAAAAGCTTTTGTTGATCCATGAGCACCTAATTGTTCCACCACATAGATTGAAACTTCGATCAAATAAAGAAATACGTATCTCACCTACTGTGTTCATTGTATTTTTATTTCATAATATAAAAGAGCTGAATAAAACAAAGGATTTTATAGTAAAAAATAAATTTTGAAAAATTTTGTGCATGCCTGATATTCAACTGCTACAGAATGATAAATATGCAGAATGCATTCGAATGTCTAAAAAATTGTTTGAGTTTCTGTGGTTGCGTCAAGATAATTCATCCAGCATATACACAAACCTAAAATTACAAAGGGTAAAATAAATTCAACATTATTGGATTACGCATAACTTGATATTCAGTTGGCTGAATAAAACTACAGTTTCCATTTTAGTTGATTTATTGGATGTATCACACACTGGTACAGAATCGTCTACTGGATTACGTTTTGAACATAATTTATTGTCCATAGTCATATCAAGATAACCACACAGCTCTAAGACATTCTCTATATGGTTCTAATTTCGTGTATCGAGTATTGATTCGATAAGCAGAGATTCAGTTATCAATCTCTCCCGTCCCCCCAACCCTGTTATGTTATATCCGGGACGCCATACAGTAAGTAATACTCTTACACTGTCTAATACATTCACTAAATCAACTAAAATGGACTAACACTCTACTCTTTTATCAATAAAACCATACTTTATCTCCATAAATGACTATTTTAATCTGCATTAGGTTAAAGGGTTCACCTGACTTATATCTTGTTCCTCAGACGCTCATGAGCGAGGTGCACTTCTGTGCTGATTTTCACGTGAACTCGCCTGTATATCTGTCTGTTTGCATCTGTATTAACAACCTTGTGGAAATGTATCCTTGCTGATGGATTCAAACAGCTTTCACAGTGCTGTCGGTGGAATATTTTCTACCGAGCCAATAGATCGACAACTAACCTTTATGTTTCAAAATTTATCCAAATGATACAATGTAAGTGGATCTTTGCTGAGAAAGAAGCTATTAAGTAAGTACACTGCAGATTGACGGTATCTTCTTTTCTAGCACCATTAAATTGGATTACTTACTTTTAGAAAATGTAGATCTAGGTTCAAGTCAGTGTAACTCATTACCATAACTTTTGAAGGACAATACAATGTCAGAAGGATGTAACTGCTCGCCGGCCTTCTGCCAAAATGAGAAAATATGTGAGTTCAATTAACAGTATATTATCACATATCACTGGTTGAGTTCACTTACAATTTCATTATACTTTTAACAGCTTTATATCACTTGTTATTGATTGCAACACTATTTTAGCTTCGCACTACCTAAAACATTTAGACAAAAGACACCTTCTACAGAGCAACACTTTCCAAAGCATACTACTACTGTCAGTATTTTTCAGCGTTTTTATACAGTTTACAGGTTTTATCTTATTATGAGGTGTCAGCTAACTACCAGAATGCTCTTACATACTCATCACTAGGTTCATTGAGGATGAGCACGAAGTATTACAGCTGCTCAAGCACCTTCAGAGAAGCAAAACTTTCTGCTGTGTGAACTCAGTCACACTGAAGTCTTCCAGTAGTTCGCTGAAGACTTTAATTGTCAAATTGCCTTGAGTTATAGAGTAAAATAGGTGGTCTCAGGGCTTTTAAATATCATTTCTATACTTCTTGTATATTTTCTTGATGAGTCATACCATCAAACTGATGAAGGCATTTTATATGGGTTGAACAGTTTTGAATTCAGCTTACATGACATTATAATGGTTGTAGTTGCTGCTAATTAATCCTTCTATCATAAATGAGAGATTGTAAAGACTACATCTTCGATTCGGTTCAGCGAGCGAAAACTCGTACACATGATTTTCCTACTCTGGTTATTTCGGTATGTATTATGTCCAACAAAGTCGCTGTAAATGCTATCCTCAGGGTTCTGGGAAAACGATCAGTTCAGAGGATCGGAGAGTGTTGTAACCTCTTATATGAACACATACACACTCCCATCAAAACGCATACTCTTATGACTGTACGCAATTATCCTAGAATAATGACACATTTTTAGGAATTTAAACATTCACGTTTTAGTCAATAATTACATATGTAGATATAACAAATTCAATGCTCGCTCAGTCTTTATGGATGTTTATTGTCACTCAACTGCTAACTATCTCGATACTCACTGGCTGTAACCCTAACCCATCCAAATGAACGTTTGAGAGACTGACTATACAAAAGTATTCCAATCGCATCCAGAAACGATATTTCAAGGCTTCCTGAGTCACTGTACAGATTATAGTAAGGAGGGAAACAGGAGAGCGCAAGCATTTTAGTTAACTTTCAAGAAACCTCAATTTAATCATCTCGCAAACTCACCATCATTTTCAATTATTCTTGTCTAAAGAGTGTATATCTACAGAGATCCAGTGAAGTAAACCATCGCACACAGATTTCGAATTGACAACAGTGTATTTCACCCTATTTAGTCCGTCGCTTTCGAGACGCTGTGATGCATTTTTCAGTAAGTCGAAACTGTATGTATTTGAATGGAGAAAAGAGGGGAAAAAGCAAATCAGTTGTCTACAGTTTTACTCAACACTAGAAAAAAGAATGAAAGTTATTTCAACTTGGCATTCATCATGGACTGAATTCAGTTGGAGAACCATTGAAGACATGGGAGCACTGGCCATCTGTTTCTTCCTAGTATGGGGCTCATCAGCAGTGGGCAGCGATGAACCCACTAGGGTCCAAACCTAGAACATCCACATTTCACGGCGATCACGTAGTCACTGAGCCAGCGAATCAGAATTCAATGGTCCACCTCTCCATGTTTCTGTCAGTTCGCGCCATACCGTAACCCTCACCCGATCTTGACCCATCCTAGGATGACACAGCCATCCAGTGCTCCCAGATTCTCAATAGTTCTCCGACTGATGTCAGTCCATCATGCGTACCAAATTAAAATCAGCAAAACCTCACGAACCTCCGCATTGAATAAAAGTCTTGTTTTGTTTTCCTTTCTTCCGTTAGATAGCTAAGCTATGTACAGCGAATCATTTCAACACCAATCTTGTACATCACTATGACAATCATGAAAACCTTTGTTGTAAACAGTATTGATTAAGTGGAAGAAATCATACACTAGTTAATGCCGTACTTTAGATTTTGTAAACTAAGAGAAGGAAACATCAGTTGTTTTTTATTAATAGTCTAAATTCATATGTTAGCGTAAACTTAGCTGTTGCATGGTGAGCATCAATCTTTGAAAGATATCTTCAGTCACGCATGATGCTGAAGTGGCATTTCTTCCTTTCACCTTACCATTTCGGTTATACTGTACATAATTTTCTCATACATCTTAAGGATATTTTTGGTCTAGGCGTAAGGCGTCAATTACAGTCTAAATGGCTGACACTTTATCAGGATTCCATACATTTCTTTCTCTCCCTGAGTTTAAGCATGGCAAAATAAAATATTGTTATGGGATTCTAACTTGGCCGGTGGGGCAAAATGCAATTCCAAATTACATTTGTTGACCTGAAATAGCACACTGCATGTTTTGCCACATAAACAGTTCTACTCTTACACCATAATTTCTCCAAATATGAACAATGCAATGTACTAGTTAATTACTTTTGAAAAATGTTTAGTTCTCTCTTATGAGCAACTCATTTCTGAGTTTTCAGCCAAATTATTACTTATCTCAGTTGTAATTTCTCATCAAGTTAGTTTTCTGAGTTTGAAGAAGGTTAAACGCAGTATTTTGAACACATTGCATTCTAAAATAATACTTTGTCTTGCTTAATTGATGATAACCAACTGACGGTAGTTCAACTGACATCCTTTGCATCATCAACCTTAGGTCGGTAACACAGTAGACTACCACAGAACCTCATCTGTAGTTCACAATTACTCAGGCATACTTCTTTCCGGAAATGCATATTTTTAATGAAAACATAATACCTCAAACTGTGATTCTAATTCGATCATTATTAGGTATTTACGAAAAACGGTCACAAAACTGACATACCGATTTGGATTCATTTCATTGAATTTATCTACCTCATGTGATAGAGAATAATAACGACCAATTTCTGCTCTGACTCGAGATATTTTATATCCAGATTTTTCTACGCGAATCAGCAGGTCATCATCTTCACCACCCCACCCTTCATACAAATTTGAAAATCCGTTCACTTTACGAAACTGCTCTCGAGTGAAAGCTACAACGCCGCCGAAAAATCCGGAATATAGCAATCTATAAATGAAATAGCATCGAAAGTAGTGAACATTATCTTTTAATATCACTTAATCAAATAAATTCACCTTCAAAGAGTAAGACGTCATAATAAACAGGACCAATATCATTGAAAATGTAGCATAATCAAGTTTCATCAATTAGCATAAAACGAAAGACAGCTAGACGGTATTTCTAAAGCAATAACAGTTAAACTAACACTACGGAATATATATATATATATATATATATATATATATATATATATATATATATAAATGTAAAATCTGCAGACAGTGGAGACCTTCTCGAAGGTGAAACTCTAACCACTGAAATATACAGTCTAATCTTGATTATTTTAAAGATTTACGGCAACAGCAAGTGGTTGGTATGTTTCAACTCAGCAAAAGGGACACATTGTTCTTGCAAACATCGTTTCAAAGTCAGAAGTCAGATAACATGTAACACTAATAACGCGAAGAACGTGACTGAATTATGTTATACTCTTCCGAAAATACAAGAATATTATTTGCATAATACTGACAAAACACTTGGAAATATAGATTGAATTGTACATTTTTACTAGTACCAGTATTGAAAACGATTTGAAGCAGGTTGTTTACATAGAATACTCTCTCATTTATCAGATGGTTATTTCTTCTGATTTCGGCTAACTTTTTCAATCAACAGGTTCATAAGTGAACATGCATATTTTAGAGGTTTAATCAGATGGAAGCGAATCCTGTGAAGGTGGAACATTAATGTCTATTATTAGTTATAAGATGAAATTAGCACGAACAATAGTGCGATAAGTATTCAAAAAGTTAATGACGGTGATCGAATTATTATAGTGGCGAAACGCGGGCCCACTGATAGATTGTAATTTCATTTTGGTTTGTTTATCAGATGTTTCATACAGCTAAACAGTATTGTCTACTGGACAATGTTCTGAATAGATAAAGGTCACGTCTAAAATGAAATTATTTTCAAATAAGGCGAAAAATCAAGTAAATCAAGTAGCGACATTCAAGAGTGAGAAATGTAAAGTCCTACACAGGGATTTCAAACTACTTCCAGTAACAGAATTGACGAACAATACCATAAAATTAATAAAGTACGAAGGTGAAGCAAAGTAGATAAAGTATAAGAATGGAGTGCGTGGTTGGAACATTCAGTGCATAGTGGACAGGTTTATAAAGAGTGTGTTGACCCTGTTGTGAGCAAGGTGGATAGAGTGGAAACACATAATTCTTAGAGCCCATAGATCAGCTTCCCCATTTCGGTTACTGTCTATAGGAAACGTGGTCTAATACTTTTGGAATATGGTGTGGAGTACTTCACCTCACATGAAGGATATAATGAAACTAGGCATTTGAAATACTCGTTGAATCGGACTGATCGGTTTTCTCTATTGGATATGATCAAAGATATGTATCAATATTCATGTTAGTCACACCATTAAGTTTCAGGAAAAAAGCTTACTTGTAGCCAGTACTACGAAGTGCAGATGAAAATGTAGTGGATGAGATTTGCATGTGTACGTGAGTCGATCATCTTCAGGTAATTTGTCCACATCATGCAAAACAAAACAGTCGTATTCCTGAAACCTGGAAACCTCGAGAAACCCAGAATTAAGTAGAGCACCACGATTGAACTTAGTTGTACCAATCTGGAAAAACAATACAAATTTGGGTTTGATGAAAATAGACAATTTAGTAAATCACAATTTCACACTTTATGAAGTGAATGCTTAACTAGGTTTGTCTAAGGTATATTGAAAAATGTGATTTCAGATCTCATCAATTCATTGGATAAATTAAACAGTTCATTCATAATGCTATAGGTCAGATTCATGCGAACTAGTTTGGTTAGCATTGCTGTAAACGACACATCCAGCTTCAAATCGGCAACACTTGAATTTCTTGTCAAACCTTCAAAGCACGAACCCTTGCAACCAACCAGCTGTATGCATTATTAAAACCCTTACATCTGAGCAAACGTCGAGCCGCATGGCACTACTTCAAAAGTATAAAACCTATATCCGCAACATGGTTTGCGTTAGAACATTTGTCTTCAAATTAATTAGTTTCCATATCAACCGGTAGGTTGAGCAAAGCTCATTCTGTTTGCTTTTCGTAATACTGAAAAACTAAAGATCAAGAATTTCCTGAAATACTGAAGCAATCAACCATACGTTAAGAGAGTACACTGGAGGCATTGTAGCTTCATTCAAGTTAAGTGATTACAACCTTGGAAACTATATAATAGTGATATGTCGAGAGCTTTTCTCAACTACTCACTTGATAATTAGTTACTATAAATACGAAATCTGAAGGAACACTCACTTTTTCTCACTATTTATCAACTTGATTTTGGAATTTCTTTCCTTCATCGAATGTGATAACCTAACGCTTTTCCATTCATACTGCCTCCTCTTATGTTTACAATTTTCTTACTATTACTCCTTGTGTAACATACTACGACTTCATTCAGAAAGCTGAATATTTAAACACCAAGTCACTTCGGATTATAGGAGATTTTCATAAATATATCAAGCTTAAATAACTCAACGTGTTTGATATGAACCAACCTGTTCAATAACAAAAATGGTATACGATACCCTCTGGTGCCGTAAAAATCCATGCAAATGATTTGTCAAGATTCTCAAATGTTCTTCACGATTACGATATGGGATTATTATTGCTGCGGAAATATTGGCAGAACAACCCAATGGAGACCATATATTTGGTGAATTATATTCTCTGACAGTGCTGTAACTTTTTGACCTGTCGTGGGCGATATTTCCTTGATTGTTGTTCGATGTACTGGAAACAAGCAATGTTGCAACAAATTTCCCGTAAAATGATCCAAATAACTCGTTCATACTTCTTTTTTCTGGCGAAGTGATATAGTCATCTGGTTGAGGTGATGCATATTTGACTTTCAGTTGTGACCAAGATAATGGTTCCAGGGAAAGTTTAACGCGACCAACTTGAGATATAAAAAATTGTATTTATTTTTTACTCGTCTTAAAATATAAAATAACTGGTGGAATATTTTACCACTTAGTTCGCTTTCAAGTATTAACTGAGCATCTTTCACAAGCGAAGATGCAGAATTCGCTCTAAACAGTTTGCGTTTTGGAAATTTGATTCTTGGTGCGTGATTTTACTGGCTGGCACGAGCGGCAGTTAGACTCCCGGTATTCGTGAGAGAACTAGGTCTTCATATGCAGTCAGAACAGGCATTCATTCAAAGAATTAGGTACGTTTGGTATTCAGAAAATGTAAACATTGCAAATCCCAGTTTAATAAGGTATGCGGGAGAAATGGATTTAAATCACTTCACATAAGTTAGCATTCTCAAAGTAGAAAGTGCCATGAATACTTTTAAATAGTCTAACTGGTTTCAATCTGTTTTAGCAGACAAACAAATGGACTACCTCCTCAGGGTATCATTCTAACACGTAATTATCTTGAAAACGTTGGCAGGTGATTTCTCTTCACAACAACTGCAACCTTATTTCATCGAACCCAATGCTTATTCCATTATACTTAGACCAGCCTACCTGACTAGGCCAGTTTTGAGTAATCTTATCTATCTACCTTTCGATTTATTAATGAATAAGCATCAATGTAGTCGACTAAAACGCTGTGCTATCAAATGTGTGAAATCGCTGTGGTATGATTTTCTAGGAACGTTTCCAAAATTACTTTTTAAAAATAGCTGCTAGAGCAACTTACCTCGTTTGTACTTCAATCTGTTACAGACTACCTAAAATATAATAAATGAGATGATAATATTAAGGTGAAAACAACTGCGTTTGCATGTAATAGGCATAATATTTCCTTGTATTGCTTTGTTTAAGGGGCCTGTCTCATAAAACAGTAATATAAATAGTTTTATTCACATGTAAATATCAAGTACAACTTAGTGAAATCTTTGTAGAGGAGTACTGGATTTCTGAACTCATTCTTACAAATATACTAAATTAGCTGTTTGCTATACTGTGACTGTAGAATCATTCTCCCAACTTCACAGTGAATAAAACATAATTCCCTACAAGTAGTTGATTGTCCACCATTATTCTGATGCCACTGGATGTAATCGCATGTACGAAACGAAAATAGAAAATAGAATGAACTGCAGGGCACAGCAAGTTCGAAAACTGGACTACAGTTTTGAAAGTATTGATAATTTTCAAAGTGACCTGATTTGCTGTTGCTCTGAAATAATTTCGTATAACGCTTCTTCATTTCTAGTCATCTGAAATAACCTGAGAGGTATTACACGGTTGCATACCTTTACCAGTTGTTTCAATCAAATATCATCATAGAGTACATCATAAATCCATTTGTTGGAAAAACTAAGAAGTAAGGGAACCTAATACCATCATTATATAGAGAAATGGCCCTCTCTAGGATTTGTAACAATCAAATTGTTTTTCAATGAAAGCGATTTCTCGTTATCACTAGTTTATAGGATGGATACAAACAGGTGACGATCATGCCAGTCTCATTTTCTTCCAATGCAGGAAAAAGAACCAGAACCGAAACTATAATCTAGTGGAGATTCATTGCAGAATCTTGAAGTGTTCATCTTTTAAAGAGAAACCGATAACCGATGAGTGATCGGAAATCACCACTTCTAGACAAACATGAAGTAATGAGACCCTTTCATGAATATGAAAAACGCAGCTTATCTAAAAATGTGATACATTTTCGCTACATATTTTCAACAGTCTGATAATACATACAATTATCAAGAAATTTTGTATGAAAAGGGGTTTAAGAAGGAGGTCAGATAAAATAATATGACAATAAGAAATGCATTAACAATTTTATTATTATTTAGGGACCAAACGTAGTACGACATAGGCACCAAGAGAGGCACCATAAAAAATAAAATGGCAACGCTAAAAAGGAATAAAACATGGAAGAGGGAAGGGAAACAGACACTGAAATCATGTATTATAGAAGTATTCCTAAAATATGCAAAAGGAAGTATTCAATAATTCAATTCTCTCCAGCTCGTGCTACCAGTCTCATGACAAGGGAACAACGAGCGATGAGGAAGCCACTGGGACAATATACATCACATACGTCGGGGTCACTGAAGCTAAAATTTCAAGAGGACTTTACCCAATGAACGACTATACACATCATGCTCAAGAACACACTGGCTCACCTCATATGTATCTGCATAGTGATTCCACCAGATGCGAACAATCTTGTGGAGACAACAATGATGGAAAATGCAGTCGACTGATATCATGAGATCAGATATGCAGGGTTTCATAGATGTAAAGCGAAAATGATCAACCAATCTGACCTCCTGTAATGAGGTTAATATCATGACGGTGCTGATGGTGATCCAGACTGGAGTACGCCACTCTGTCATTGGATATGCAGTTGAACATATACTTTTTCATAAACCCACTAACACAGTCATCCAGACCCACAAACGTTTCCAAAGCAATCATAGTTCATCAACAAGTGCGAACCCAAAAACAGGCTCCTGCCAATCTTTTAGAAGCAGTTCACTCCTAGGCAGCACAAGGCACATTCCATGCTTACAAGCATTGATCGCTGAATGAGTGAGTGCTGTCTGAGTAGCCTGCATATCAACTCATAGTAAGAAGATATCCTTCACATACTGAAAATTGAAAAGTTTTCTACATAGCATCAGTTGCACACTACCACCGTGCACTTTCTTCAGGGCTGTCTTCAGAACTCCATCTATCACAAAGTTAAAGAGTATTGAAGAGATTGAGAAACCCTAAGTAAATTCACCTTTGGTTTGCATGAGTCTGACTGTATGCCTACATCCCAAATGAGGTGATAAGGTTCCGGGCTTTCAATATATTAACAAACTTCTCAGGGATATCCTTCTGTAGAAAACCATGGCAGAATGCAGCCCTGTCAAATGATTCAAAGGCATCCGTAATATTGATGAAAACAAGGATACTTTAGACATGCAATACGTGTAGCGACGCATGAGTATCTAACAGGGGCATACACCTGTGTCTACGACGTGGACAAAAGCGCAACCACTCCTCATGCATCAGCTCCTCAGGCGTTCTTCTCATCCTGTTAAGTTTGATAGCCACCAACACTCTAGATGCTACCAGCAGTAGAACGATGCCCCGTCTATCATCATATATATTCAGAAGACACAGATTCACTACAGAATGAAGCATCCAGAGAGAAGGTAATGGAGGAAGAACAATAAGTTTCGAAAATAGCTTTAGACATATGATTAGATAGATATTGCTGGGGTGAATGTAGCATCCTGAAAAATTAAAAAGCTCAACTTTACCTCAGTAGATTCTATTTTATACTTTATGATAACACGTTCACTTAGACTTAATACTTTCAGGACTGCAAATTCTTTCCAAAAATTGGAAAAAATAGTCCATTTGGACAGCTTAACCAGGAGATAGTACTTAGTAAGACATTATTAGAAAATGCTAATCCACTGGATTTTGTGAACTGCCACAGGCGTCAGTTAGTATTACTTCTCTACATTCAGCATTTTAGTTAAATGGATTTAGGCTTCAAGATAGCACTGTACTACACCAAGCATGAAAGAGTGAAGGAAGTAGATGTTTAGGAGGGATTATTCGGCGAAAACAACCACTGTTAAAGGTGTCATAGGGAGGACAAACTCTGAATCCTATCAGTGTATATCGCAAAAAGATGAGGAAAGTAATCACAGAAGCAGCATCTTCCTGAGACAGAGGAATACGCCCATAGGATCATAGGAAAAGACAAAACGTGGTTGCAGCCTAGAAAAAAATTCTTTCAGACGAAATCAATTACTAGCTATACGTTCATAAATATGTGTTACAGTGAGCAGAAAATTCCAGAATTATCTCCGGTCAGGGGGCATCCGCTTGTAAAACGTGTCCGCGAACACTACCCAGCCTGGCTGGCAAAGGGGGAACGGAAATGTATCTTCAGTTCAATAACAGAACACCTCGTGAGCTCATTCAAAATCCTCTACAGGGTTCGACCAAACCACTCAAAGGAAGTGAGACCAAGGCATTTGTCAATAGGCGAAGCACTAGCGATCCAGAAGATCAAACCGACGTTGTGCGTCTTTGCTAATGCCATCATAAAACCTCGACTGTCATGGATTCATTTTGTAGTAGGTAACTACACATGTATTTCCTTCATCATTTGTTCGTTTTCCTACTCTACCGTAGATTTAATCTGCATTACGTAACTACAATCTTATTTCCATAATCTCCTGTTCATTTCCATATTCTGTGATAGGTTCGTCCGGTATTACGTATTCGCAATTTTATTTTCATAACCCTTAGTTCATTTTCCTACTCTGTCAAATATTCGTCCTGTATTACGTAACTAAGTTCAATTTCATAATCCCTTGTCTATTTTCCCACTCTAAAACCAAAGGTGTATTAATTAATTTCCGTTAGATATTGAATATATTTCCCCCCTAACAGGAAATAATTCTGGAACGTTTTGCTCATTGTAACATATATTCACGAATGTACAGATTAGTAAATGACTTCATCGAAAAGAAAAATATTTCTCGCTGCAACCACGTCCAGTCTTCCTGAAACACCAATAGTTTACTCAGATACCATTTTTCTATCTTGCCTATGAAACAGGAATCCAAGAACTTCAAACTTAAATGATGAAGCTTCGAGTGTCACAGGAATGGACTTAACTAAGTAATTACTGAAATGCATTTAAGGTTACCTAGTTTGTTTGTGACTTAATTAATTAAGTAGAATTACTTGTAAATTTCCTACTTTTAATAAGCGTGAGTAAATTTGTTAATGTCATTTGTAACCATGATCCGCATTCATTTTACCAGAACGATATCCAAGTTCTCCAATAATTATTTCAGTAGTAGTTGTATTACTTCAAAATGCTATGACATTGCACATTCTGACGTGAACAGTAATCTAAAACCGTCCATACATGTGACTCATTTGCACAGTGAACAGTTCGTAAATCCGTTATTTATTTATTTATTAGTCCCTTGGGTTCCTAGTGGAACATAGGGCTTCAGTAGCACGCCTCCAGTGACCTCTGTTCTCTGAGATCTTTTGAACCTGGTCCCACGACAGCTCAGAAGCTCTCATTTCCTCCTCGCACGACCTCCTCCATGTCACCCTTGGACGTCCAACTCGTCGCTTCCCATTGGGATTCCACTCGAGGGCCTGACGCGTGATGTCCTCAGTCGGCCTTCTCAGTGCATGGCCAATCCATCTCCACTTCTTCCTGCATATTTGTTGCGTGATAGGTTCTTGGTTGGTTCGTTCCCAGAGTTCCTTGTTGCTTATTTTTTCTGGCCATCTGATCTTCAGCAGCGAGCGTAAGCAGTTGTTGATGAATGTCTGTAGTTTATTGGAAATGCCTTTCGTGACGCGCCAAGTCTCTGAGCCATACAAGAGCACTGACTTGACGTTGGTGTTGAAAATCCGTATCTTGTTCCGCATGCTGAGTGCAGAAGATCTCCACACTGGTTTCAGGCTAATGAACGCCTGTCTTGCTTTTCCGATTCTGACTTTGACGTCCTCGTCCGTCCCGCCTGTAGTTGAAACAGTGCTTCCTAGATAAGTGAAGGAGGTTACTTCCTTTAAGTTTCTCCCGTTGACGGTGATTGGAGTTTGTTGTTGTTGTTGATGGTGGTGGTGCGGTATCTTCATCACCTCTGTCTTCTCTATATTCACCTGAAGTCCCGTCTTAGCTGCCTCCTCTGTCAACTTGTTAGTTTTTGCCTGCAGATCTTCAAGTTTGTGTGACATTAGGCATAAGTCATCGGCGAAATCCAAGTCTTCTAGGTTCTTTTCCGCAGTCCAGTGTATCCCCCTCTTCTCGCTGCCTACTGTTTGCTGCATGATCCAGTCCACCACAATCAAGAATATCATGGGGGATAGTAGGCAACCTTGTTTCACTCCTGTCTTCACTTCAAAGGCATCACTGAGCTTCCCATTGTGGATTACTTGGCATGTGGCATCTTCATATAGTTGTTGAATGAGGCGGATAAAGGTTTGCGGTACTCCGTAGTATTGAAGCAGTTTCCAAATTACTTCTCGGTCGACGCTGTCAAAGGCCTTCTCAAAGTCGATGAAGTTGAGGTGAGGTAGAGAGCTGATTGCCATTCTATGCTCTGTTCTATGATGATGTGTAGAGTAGCGTTGCAATTTGGTCTGCACATGATTTGTACTTCCTGAAGCCTGCCTGTTCCGGTCGCAGTTTTGAATCCAGTGCATCTTTAAGCCTCTCCAGGATGATGCGGCTTAATATTTTACTTGGGGTGGACAGGAGAGTGATTCCGCGCCAGTTCTTGCAAGCACTGAGGTCTCCCTTCTTCGGCAGTTTGACAAGGTAACCCTTCTTCCAATCGTCAGGTACCTTCTCTTCCCTCCACACCTTCTGCAATAGTGGTGTGAGCATGTCCGCTGTTGTCTCTGCATCTGTTCTCAGTGCTTCTGGCGGTATTCCATCTGGTCCTGCTGCTTTCCCGCATTTCAGTAGCTTTATGGCGTTCAGGACTTCCATTTTCGTTGGGGGATTTATGTTCACTTGTAATTCAGCGGCTGCAGGTGGTATTTCTGGACGAAGTGCAGGTGGTGGTCGATTCAAGAGCTTCTTGAAGTGGTCGGCCCATCGTTTCCTCTGTTTCTCTTCTTTTGTAATTAAATTTCCTTCTTCATCTTTTATTGGTTTCATCTGTGTTGGTCTCTTCCCTGATAGCAACCTGGTTATTTGATACAATGTCGTCAGGTCTCTCTTACCTGCAGCCTGTTCTGCTTCACTTGCCAGTGTTTCGTAGAAGTGTCTTTTGTCTTTGCGTGCACTCTTCTTCACTTCTTTATCCAGTGTTTTATACATTGTGCTCAGTTCCTCTTGTCGTTGAGCATCCTTGCACTGGTTTATCTTCTGCTTCACCATCCTCCTCTCCTCTATCAGCTTCCAGGTATCCGTCGAGATCCATTCCTTGTCTTCTTTCTTCTTCCTTCCTAATACTGTTGTGCAGGTTTCTTTCCACATAGCTTTCAAAGACTTCCAGTGTTCTTCCACACAGGTTTCTTCAGGGATGTTGCTCGATGTCTCCCATTTTGTCTTGATGGCTGCTTTGAAGATCTCCTTTGTAGTTTCATCCTTCAGTTTCCGAGTGTTGTACTTGAATTGAGGTCTATCACCAGCTTCCTTGAAGGCTTTTAACTTGATTTGGAAGGTTCCTTGCACTAGATAGTGGTCTGAACCTACATCTGCTCCTCTTCTTGACCTTGTGTTAAGTAGACTGCGTCTCCATTTTCTTGAGATTGAGATAAAGTCGATTTGATTTTTAGTGTGTCCATCTGGTGAAATCCATGTCGCTTTGTGGATATCCTTGTGCCTGAACACACTGCCTCCAATCACCAAATCGTTGAATGCACAGAATTCTGCAAACAATTCTCCATTCTCATTCATTTCACCTAGCGCCTCTCGACCCATGGTTAGTTCTCTTCCCGTGTTGTCCCCTCCCAGTTTGGCATTCATGTCGCCCATCAGAATTTTGATATCGCCAACTGACGTCTTGTCCAGTGTTGATTGAAGTTGTCTGTAGAAATCCTCCTTTTTCTCTTGCTCTGCATTATTTGTAGGTGCATAACATTGTATGATTGTGACCTTTCTTCCTTTTGAGTTGAATCTTGCTGTCATGATCCTGGAGGAGATTGGTTCCCACTGCATGAGAGCCTTCGATGCTCTTGAGGACATCATGATAGCCACTCCCTCAGTGTGCTCGTGGTTGTCGTCTGGGTGACCGGAGTAGATTATTGATTCTCCAGTTGACAGTTTGGAGAGTCCACTCCCATTCCATCTGCTTTCGCAAATCCCAAGCACTTCGATGTTATACCTTCTCATCTCCTTTGCAATCTGGGCTGCCTTACTGGGTTCAAACATCGTGCGGACATTCCATGTCCCCACGTTTACTTTCGCTTTCATCGAGAGAAGACACATCGGCCAATTGGCTTCCCGAAGGCTTTCACCAACTGGCGTCATTTCGCCTCTCCGATTCCAGCGGGAATAAGTTTGTTTTCATTTTTTATATTTTGTTTGTGCTTTGAAGTTTCTTTAGCGGTTAGATTTGTTTTACGGGGTAGGGTTGCTAGCCCTATGCCCAACCTTCCCTCTTTACCCGGGCTTAGGACCGGCTAGTAACTAGTAAACTAGTTAACCAGGCGAGGTTCGTAAATCCGTGGTGACTGTTAAAAAAAAGTGATGAGGACTACTGCAGTTTTAGTATGAAAATGATAGTGGATACGTTAAAAATTTACTGAAAGTCAAACATACCTCTTCATATGGCTTCTGAATATTTGAAGTAAAGTTGATGGTAAACACTGGCTTGACTTCACTTGAACTTGTAATCACCAAGTAATATATGTACAAAGCACCAGCAAGGATGAATATTAAACACAAAAGTTTTAGCGGTGAACTGACTATCGACGGTAACAACATTTCAGTTCCTAAAAAAAATAGAGGTTTAGGCAAGATCTTATGATTGTTATCTGCGAAACTGTTTAATAGGAGAGTTTGAGGTCAATTTGTAAGTGAGCGTACATATTTACACTGAGCGTTTAGATTTTCCAACCCGTTATTTGAATACTGTTATAATTGGCACACCTGAAATTTATTTAGTCCATCTGTAGATAGGAACCTGTAATTGGCAGTTAGGCGGTAATTATTCGATTCCCTGTGTTTTCAAATTCACTTATGAAAAAAAATCACTGATTAATCATGTTAACTCAAGTTTACTAAATGAAAAAGGTAAATGTAGCACAGAAACGATTATCAGATATATATGGTGCTCTGGTTCGTTGTTTTGAAGAATAAAACTGCAGTAAAGGTGTATAGAAATCGAACTTGTGTTTTGTCATATGCTTTATGACGAACATTGTTGTCATGATAATGATCCCCTAGTTTTTGGCAATAAAGCTAAAAAACATCTTTATTTTAATCCACGAAAAGGAAGTCGGAATAAACACCCTGAAATCGCTTAAGAACAACCCATCAAGTTACTCATTTCCACGTTGATTCTCGTTCATAAACTAAGCTTTCTGAAACATTCTTTTACATTATACTGATTAGTTAACTAATAGAAACTGAGTGAGTTTTAGAAAATTGCTTATAATTTTTTTAATTAAGTGAAGTTATTTTACATAAGCTTAAAATAGAAAAATATTTGGTGCTTGTGTATCTGTAAGAAGTTGTACCAAATATATTTGGCAACTTTAAAATTTCTCAAAGCTTGTTTACATAAAAGTAATCGTTTGTACTGTATGGATATGTAAGATTTAAAATCAATTGATTTTTATCGCTTTGTCGCATTTGGTCGATAATGGTCATGCAATAGAAAAGACTATAGCTTTCAAAATCATCCATCGCATTCCACAAAATATTTTGAATGGAATTCGCGCTGGCATCTTACATATACCTGAGGCTATGAAATTAGAGAAACCAACTCTAGTCTTTGTGTGCAGAAAATATTTGTCCAACCTTAATCTCTGCCTTTGGTCGAGAAAACTCAATAAATGACTTCTAGGATAAGTTCAGTTTTCATTCTATTCCCTTTCTTCACTCCTTTGGCACACATGCTTATTTGCTTAGACTTTGATTATCTACACATTCCATCCCTTAGTAGTATTGCGTAACTTTTATTTTCTTAAGTTTTGACTTACAACATTGATTGCCTAAATGTTTTCAGTACCTTGCTGTTCCCAATATTCTTACCATCGTTGGGGTAGTTAATACTATTGCCATTATCATTATTATTATCATTATCATTATTTCTATTATTATCCGGATATCTACTATTTGGATGCTTCCTTTCCCGGTTATTAGTATTATTATTTGTCCCTTGGGTTCCTAATGAAACATAGAGCTTCAGTAGCTCATCTCCATTGCACTCTCTTCTATGCAGTCTTCTCAGTCTGGTCCCATGACTGTCCACAAGCTTTTATTTCCACTTGAGGGCCTGATGCGTGATATCCTCAGTCGGCCTTCTCAGTGTATGCCTGATCCAATCTATCTCAACTTTCGTATGCATATTTGGTGGGTGATAGGTTCTTGACCGGTTGGTTCTTTGCCAGCCAGCCAGAGTTCGTTGTTGCTGATTCTTATTATTCTGGCCATCTGATCTCCAGTGAGCGTAGGTGGCAGCTGTTGATGTGATGTATATCTGTAGTTTGTTGGAAATGCTTTTGTCTCTCAACCATCACATTGAAGCACTGACTTGGCTGACATTAGTGTTTAAAATCCAAGTCTCTTTCCTTATGATGAGTGCGATAGATCTCCACACTGATTTCAGACTAATGAAGGCCTATCTTGCTTGCTTTTCTGATCCCGGCATTGACGTCCTCATCTGTGCCTGAGCTGCCTGTAGTTGAAAACGATGCTGTCTAAGAAGCAGGTGAGAGAGAAAACTTGCTTTACATTTCTCCCGTTCATGGTGGTTGGTGCTTCTTGTTGATGGTTGGCTATCTTCACCACTTCCGTCTTCTCTACATTCAATTGAAGTCCCGTCTTCGCTACCCCACATCACCTCTTCTGCAAACTTGTCAGTTTTCAACTGTAGATCTTCGAGTTTGTGCAACAAGATATTAAACATGAATCATCATCGTCAGCGAAATCCTAATCTTCTTCTGTAGTCTCTTCATCGGTCAAGCCAGCGTATACCCATCTTCCAGATCCTCACTGTTGTCTGTTGCATGATCCAGTACAGTCCACCACAATCAGGAAGATCAATAGTGTTAATAGGCAGCAACATTCTCTTACTCCTGTCCCCTGTCTTCACTTCACTTCAAAGGCATCACTGAGCTTTCCATCGCGAATCACTTGGCATATACCGCCTTATGGCATGTAGCTGTTGAATGAGATTGATGAATGTTTGTGGTAGTAAAACCGTAGTGTTGAAGCAGCTGCCTGCCGAATTACTTCTCGGTCGACGCTGTCGAAGGCCTTTTCAGAGTAGATGAAGTTGAGGTAAGGTGAAGAATTGACTGTCATTCTATGCTGTGTTCTATGATGATGTGCAGCGTAGCGTTGCGTTGCAATTTGATCCGCATATGATTTGTTTATCCTGAAGCCAGCCAGCCAGCCAGCCAGCCAGCCAGCCAGCCAGCCTGTTCTTGTTAGTTCTCTTGCTGTGTTGTCTGCTTCCCTCAGTTTGGCATTCATGTCGCCCATTATAAGTTTGATGTCATCAACTGAAGTCTTGTCCAGTGTTGATTGCAGTTGTTGGTCGAACTTCTCCTTCTTCTTTACTTGCTCTGCATTATTTGTAGTTGCGTAGTGTAGCATTGAATGATTGTAACTTTCCTTCCTTGTGAGTTGAACCTTGCTGTCATGATCCTGGGGGATATTGGTTCCCACTGCATGAGAGAGAGCCTTCGATGCTCTTGGGGACAACATGATATCCACTCCGAAACTCAGTGTGCTCGTGGTTGTCGTCTGAGTGACAATATCGGAGTAGATTATTGGCTTTTCTCCAGTTGACAGTTTGGAGAGTCCACTTCCATTCCATCTGCTTTCGCAAATTCCTAGCACTTCAATGCGATACCTTCTCATCTCCTCTGCAATCTGGGCAGCCGTGCTGGGTTCAAACATGGTGTGAGCATTCCATGTCCCCACGTTTATTTTCGCTTTCATTGAGAGAGAGAAGACGCATCGGCCAATTGGCTTGCGGAAGTCTTTCACCAACTTGTGTCATTTCGCCTCTCGGATTCCGGCGAGGAATAATTTCGCTTTTATTTTTTATATTCTGCTTGTGCTTTGAAGTTTGTTTAGCGATTGGATTTGTTTTCCGGGGTAGGGTTGCTAGCCTCATGCCCAAACTTCCCTCTTTACCCGGGCTTTGGACCGTCTAGTAACTAGTTAACTAGGCGAGGTTAGGATTAGTTTAGTGTTTCATATGTTAGGATAAAGCCTGATGACAGCTCATTTAAAGCAATATTGTTTGCTTATATGTCTCCTAATTTTGACTGTGATATATTAATTGTTAAACTTTGACTGAATTTGACAAGTCCATACTTGCTTTAAATTCTTTCCCTTTGAATTGTTTGAAAGAAATGCATTTTTCTCTGTCACAGTTTTATATGTGACATTGAAATAAACTTGTATATATGTATATACCTATGTTGCGTTAAAGACTTTCTTATCTGTTGAGTTAAAATAAAATGTTTTGCTGATTGTTGAAAAAATTTCTAACACACGCTGCATTGTAAACGATCAATATGAAGATTTTCGCTGGTGTAAAGAGAAATATTATAGCAATTTTATGATTATTTTCAATGAAAAACAAGCATTTCTAGAAGTATCTATATACATATACTTATCAAATATTAACCAACGTTTTTAAATCATCAAAAGCACTAGACTCTCAATTATATTCTGCATTATGTTTTTCATTCAAGTGCATTTTGTTGACCATATGTAAGACGTAAGAAGGACGCCTCAAAAGAATACTTCCTACTTCTGGTCAGTGTTTATGCACCATGTCTGTCAAACTGAAAACTATTCAAAGCTGGTTTACATTTGAATGTAAATTCTTCTGGTAACTAAGTGATTACTACTTTCCACCTCAATTCTACATTCAGCTAAGTGGGCGGTAATTCCTAAAAGAATTATCCCATGAGCTTATTTGAATCATTGGAAGATTTTAGTAAACCACTGCATACTAAGCTAAAGGGGTGTTCAAGTTTAAAATCAGGTTACGGATGGTAGATACTTAAATCATGCAAACCAGATATCATTGTACAAATCTTGATTCAATGTGTTGCGAACTGCATCTAATGTGGACTCAAAAAATTAACTGTAAACAATCCAACCAGTAGATGAATAGGGTTGAGGAATTTTCTAACTCAAAGCTGTTTGAAATAATAAACAATTTGGAGATAAATGTTAGTGCAAATATTCAAGCTTTAGAAGACGTCGAAGAGTGAATCCATGTGCGACACTGTGACCAATCTTCAGACATCTCACAAAACGTCTTCAACCACCAATTCCTACCAGCATAGTGACCTCTTCCAGGCAGACTACTTCTCTCACCACACAGCTCAGATCAACAATCAGGAACTTCATTGACTGATGCCACCTCCTGATCCGGTCACCGTCAACCCTCTTCCAAACTAACCCACTTTCTCTTAGGATAGTACATCAAGGTGTGTGGTGTCTCGGCATGTGAAGCAAGATTACCCACGAGTATGATCAAAAAGGCATTACAATGTAAGATCTTCAGATCATTCAGATTATCTACATAACTCAGTGGTGAAGATGTAAGTTTGATATGAGCTTGAAATTGCATGAAAACCTGCTTTGTGTTAAGCTGTTAGATACTCCTAAACGTCTTTCTGATGCCCTGTTGATGATTAACAACAGTCAGCAGGTCTAATCCAAGGTCACCTCTAAACTGACTTCACGTAATAAGCATGAGAGCGTTCTGCACCACTGTGTCACATCACTTGTCTTTAGGGCCATGTGACAAACTAGACTAACATACTTCGGTTCACACTTCAAAGAAACCAGATGACATATATGACAGCGATTACCAACCAGTAACTGATTCATGCGATTTGTATACCGTTTGAAGAAAACTAGTTAATAAAGTGTGTATGATGCGAATATCTTGAATTGGTAAATTTTGGAGATAAATTAAATTTGTATCCCCAGATGTGAATGCCAATCATTTTATGAGAGAAGAATGAAAAACTTTTATGTAGTTTATAAGATAGAATATGCAGCTTGGGACTTAAAAGCTTAGTATTTAAGACCCGCTTATTAAAGCGGAAGACGAAATAACTGTGAATCCATACAGTAGTAGAGATATGATATATTTTATTTTAGCTTATACATATCATTCACTCCAATTGGCTGGCCGAAATATGATTACCGATGAAACGTGTTTACATGAACTATTTTTGACCCATCAGAAAAGGTGGTATTTTTTGTTTTACAACTCCAGTAGAGATGGTATGAAACCCACAAACAAATTTATCATCAGATAGTGAAATATATAGCTACAAGTCCTAAGTGCTGATAAAAGTCTCTTGATCAAGTTAGAAGGGAAGTTAAGAGACAACACGTTGGTACACTTTTATACAGTGTTTAGGATCTTAGTTAGCGTTATATGAAGCTTAGTGGGTTGACTTTTCAGTTTACAATACTGTCTGTCTAATTGGTTTCCTGCATTAAAATGGGCAAGAC